TTCCTTCCTTCCTTCCTTCCTTCCTTCCCTCCTTCCCTCCTTTCTTCTCTCCTTCCCTCCTTTCTTCTCTCCTTCTCTCCACACAAGGAAAATGTCTTCTTTTGTACTTGGAGCCATCCTTAAATTTTGCATTGAAATGCAAAATTCTGTGCATATAAGTGCAAAATTATTCCCCTCTACAAGAAAAGAAGAAAAACAAGGAAACTAAAGAGGCTTTAAATTGGGTCAGTTGCAAAAACTAAATAATTGGGGAGGTCGTAAAAAGCCTTTTAAATCATTACAAAATGGAGTTTTCAGATGCACGGAGAAATATTTTTGAAGCTTAAAAAAAAGCGTGTGAATCCTTGGGAGACAACAAAAGAGACAGAAAGTTTGTTTACACCCACAGTAAAAAAAAAAAAGATAGAAATAGAATTTGAAAGGGGTGGGGTGGGATTTAAATGAAAGGCAAGGAGTTAAAAGTATAGAAGAGGAAGAAGTGAAAAACAAGAATTCATCGGACAATGTTATGGAAATTCAGGGAAAGGTAGAAAGATTAGAGAGGAAAGGATGGGGGAAATACTCCCCCCCCCCCAAAAAAAAGAAGTAGTTAAAAAAATAAAAAGGGAAATACTTTGCAGAGAAAAGTGGAAGTTTTGGTGAGGGGGGCTTGCAAATAATACGACTTAAAAAAGATAAAAGGGTACAAGAGAGAAGCAAAATATAGAAACAAAAACTGCTTCTCTTTCTAGGGGGAGATGTTTGATTCCCCCTAAAATCACTTTGGGGGGGGAGGTTTGGCACAAAAAGACAGGCTTTTATTCCTGCCCGCCCCCCCAAAAAATCCGTGTCTACTTTTGACAGCCTGGTCAAGTTGCCAAACTTTCAAGCTTTGCCAATAATCCCCCCCACACACACACACACACACTCCAGCTTGGCAAGAGATGCTTTGCGTCTCCCTGGCACCAAAACTCACCCTGCCTAGCCGGCTGATTCACTCCTCCTTCGCCCAGCCATGCCCAGGTGGCACAGGGTTGTTGGCACTGTCTCTTTGAGTTTCTTGGCATAGCCGCACATGTGCCGCGCCCGATGGGAGCCTCGGCAGCTCCGGGAAGGAGGTGTCCCTGACTTCAGAATTGGTGTGTGTGTGAGACAGTTGGGGGGGGGGTCCCTCGCTGTGTCTCCCTACCAAACTCAGCACCCTGTTTTTCGATAGAATGGATTGGTGCCCTCGGTGCCATGCTTAAATTGCATTTTTATTCTTTCTTCTTCCTCCGTTTCTGACAACACAAGTTTCCCTCCAATAAGTCAAACGGCTTCCAGCCTCTTCGGACAGTCACGTACCGCACCGTATCCATAAGCCAGGTCAGTGCCCGGATTTTTAATATTTCCCTTGCTTTTAATTCTCCCTGTTTTTATTCTAATATTTCTGCAAAGTTTTTTTTTAAGGCTGTTGGTCGACCTTTTAACCACCCCCCCATAATCCCTTGTGGGGTGGAGTCTGGGCAACTGAATGAAGCTAGCAAAGTGTTTTTTACTGGCCGGACACTCGCCCTGTCGCCAGAGCGTTGTTCGGCAGATATATTCTCATTGTGCCCAGAGTGGGAGATATCTGCCTCGGCCTAGAATTGAACTCACAGCTTTCTGATTGTGGGACCCCAGAGCACCACTCTAGATTTCCAACATGGAATAAATACTGTAAATGAAGAATAAATAACAAACCCCCCCCCCCCTGAATTTGGGGTGATGTTTCAGACGCACGGTTTTTTGAGGGGGGGGGCAGCTTCCTCGGATCAGTTTAAGAACCTTAAAAGTCTAGCAAACTCATCTATTTCATTTCTTATTTTTCTAAGTTTTCCTGCCCACCTTCAGATGATTTTGAGTTTCTTTAAACATGAAAGAAACAACGGAAGTCACATTTGTCCCTTTAAAAAAAAAAAACACCATTGGAACAATAGCGGGTATTTTTACAGGGAATCCCCCCACTTACGACAAGCGGGATTAACCCCCCCCCCTCTTCTTGCGCTTAGGACGAACCCACCTATCCCACCGAGGACATCTCCATCATGCGCGAGACGACCAAGAGACTCTTTTCAAAACTTCAGGAGGCCGAGAAGAGGCACCAGTCTGATCGCTCGGCCTACGAGGTAAGGGATGCTGAAGTGCAAAATATTGGGTTGCAAATGGATTTGTTTCTTGCAATAGAATAGAATAGGGCAGGACAGGACAGAATATTAGAATAGAATAGAATAGAATAAATATTGGAATATAGAATAGAATAAGGAATGGAATAAAATATTGGAATAGAATAGAGAATAGAATAAGGAATGGAATAAAATATTGGAATAGAATAGAGAATAGAATAGAATAAAGAATGGAATAGAATAAAGAATAGAATAGAGAATAGAATAATAGAATGGGATGGAATAGAATAGAGAATAGAATAAGGAATGGAATAAAATATTGGAATAGAATAGAGAATAGAATAAGGAATGGAATAAAATATTGGAATAGAATAGAGAATAGAATAGAATAAAGAATGGAATAGAATAGAGAATAGAATAATAGAATGGGATGGAATAGAATAGAGAATAGAATAAGGAATGGAATAAAATATTGGAATAGAATAGAGAATAGAATAGAATAAAGAATGGAATAGAATAAAGAATAGAATAGAGAATAGAATAATAGAATGGGATGGAATAGAATAGAGAATAGAATAAGGAATGGAATAAAATATTGGAATGGAATAGAGAACAGAATAAGGAATGGAATAAAATATTGGAATAGAATAGAGAATAGAATAAGGAATGGAATAAAATATTGGAATAGAATAGAATAAGGAATGGAATAGAAGATTGGAATATAATAGAATAGAATAACTTTATTCTCACTTTGAATGTACACTAATTGGCACCCATCAAAAATGAAATTTCGTTGCATGCAGCTCTTAACTGGGTGGGGAGAGTGTTAAATCCGGATTTTCCTCCTCCTGTGTTCAGACGTCCATCTCGCATTATCGGAGGGAAGCGGAGCACTCGGGCATCGCCCTCCGGAAAGCCGAAACGGAACTGGAAATGAAGGACCTTAAATTGGAAGAACTGCAACGGCTCCTCACCGGCATGGAGAAGGTATCTATCCCTCCTCCTCTTCCATCTCCTCCTCTATCTCCTCTTCCTTTCCTTTTTTTTCTCCTTCCTTTCTCCTCCTTCCTTTCTTCATTCTGCCTTATTTCCCTTCTCCTCCTCCTCCCCTTCTCCTCTATTTCACCTTCCTTTCTTTTCTTCTTCCCTTTTCCTTCTCCCTTTCTTTCTTCCTTTCTCTTACTCTCCAGAAACCCCATTCCTTTCTAACACTGATGATGTTGCCTAGTTAGGTCTTGAAATGCCTACAAGCAAATAACCAAGCTCAGAGAGCACCAAGGACCACGCGGTCCTCCCCCTCCCCTTTCTCCCCCTCTTCCTCGGGGGGTCTTCCATCCTGGTGGCTGTGAGGCCATTGAGATCCTCGCTGGATTACTTGGGGTGCAAACAGGCCCGTTTTGGGGCGTCCGGAGCAGGATAACCAAGCGGGAAACAGCGTCCGAGTCTCTTTTGGGCAACTGACTTGTCTTCCTTTTGAGAAAGCAGAGAGCGGCTCGCCCTCGCCGTCCGTCCCACCTCACCTTCCTCTTCCTCCTCGGCAGGAACACCAGATCCTCCGGCAGAAAGTTCGGGATGGCGAAATGCAACTGGAAGATCTGCGGAGCTCGGAGAAGGACAAGGCAGCCGAGCAGGAAAGGTGAGGCCGCCGTGGAGGCTGGGGTGGGAACACACATACCCCCCGGCAGCCGAGACCGAGGGAATCTGATTCGGCAAAGAGCTTCTCCCCTCCCGTCAACGCCGCTCGGTTTCCGGTTTCCCCTCCGTCGCAGGTCGGCTAAGTTAGAGAAGGAGGTCGCTGGTCTCCGGGAGAAGATCCACCACCTGGACGACATGCTGAAGAGTCAGCAGCGGAAAGTCCGGCATATGATTGAGCAGGTTGGTCCGGCGGGCCCCGAGGACTGGGCGGTTGGTCCGGTTGGGGATGGGACGAGGGGCTGAATTCGAATCCAGGTCTTTTCCCCCTTCAGCTGCAGAACTCCAAGACGGTCATCCAGTCGAAGGACACCATCATCCACGAGCTGAAGGAACGGGTGGCGTATCTGGAAGCCGAGGTGAGGAACCGCCGGTTCTTCCTTTGGGTTCCAGAGGGGGAGGGGGGACAGAATGGGGTGGGTGCGAACGGCGCGTCCACAAGCTTGCGTGGCAACTATCCAATGGTGTGCTGCATATCCGGAACAGTGAGGACTAGAATCTTTTTATTTTTTTTATTTTAATACTTTATTTGTAACATTTCCTTTAAATGCTTTTTGGGTGGATTGCTTACATAATCATGTTTTCCCAGCTCCTTATTCAACCCTTGATAAAACAATCCTCGGATTTGAAAGTCCTCTGTATCTTTCCTTTCTTTTCTCTTTAATGTTAAGTTTACCCCTTTGTGGGTACTGGGACATACTGGGATGTATCCTGCTGGGTGGCTAAGTCCCTCAGCTTGTCGATCAGAAAGGTCGGCAGTTCAGCGGTTCGAATCCCCAGCGCCGCATAACAGAGGGAGCTCCCGTGACTTGTCCCAGCTTCTGCCAACCTAGCAGTTCGAAAGCACATTAAAAAATGCGAGTAGAAAAACATGAGCCACCTTTGGTGGGAAGGGAACAGCCTTTCGTGCGCCTTCGGCGTTGAGTCACGCCGGCCACATGACCCCGGAGACGTCTTCGGACAGCGCTGGCTCTTCGGCTTTGAAACGGCGATGAGCAGCGCCCCCTAGAGTCGGGAACGTGCGAGGAGAACCTTTACCCATTTCTGCACAATCTAATATGTTTTTATTTTTAAATTACATCATCGTCTCTCAGGGTTTCCTCATTTTTTCCCCCCCGATACTTTGCAAATGCAATTCTTGCCCGCCCCTCAAAATATTGCAATATTAAATAACAAATCCCCCTTATTATCCTAGAATCTTTCCTATGGGAAGCAGAGCTCTGGATTATCCTGCAGCCCCTCCGTCTTCTCTCTCTCCCCCCCCCCCCCCAAAAAAATCGGGGTTTATTTATTTATTTTCTTTGCAAAGCTCTGCCCCCTGGTGGAATTTTAGCGAACTTTTACAACACTCCATTGTCTCAGAAAAGTTGTGTTTATCCCATTTGTGTGTCAGAAAATGGGCTCTGAGTGTCGGGGGGGGGGGAGGAGGAGGAGAGGTGCCTGTTCTTGTTGGATTGAGCCCAGATTTTTAGGGTGGGAACTTTTCTACAGCAAATTTGGAAACCCCCCCCTGCAAGATGTGAATTCCTCCCCCTTCACTTAAGGCCTGGTAAACAGTCTTCCAAAGGTGAATTTATGACCACAGACCTTATCTAGCTTGGAAAGCTGCCATGTACATATTTGGCACAGAGTCTCTGAGATTCGGGGACGGATCTTCACACTCCTGAAACAAATAAAACGGACGGTTTCCTGCAAAAGCCCCCTCCCCTTTCGTTCCTCTTCTATGTCCTATGGGAGGGGCCATTCACCGTCCACCTGCGGCTTCCCTCCCAAGTCAACCCTGATTTCTCAGCTGATCTTCTGGCAGCTCTGGGAACAGGCTCCTCCTGTTCCTCCGCCTCGCTGCCGTCTAGCTCCGAAGGCAGCTGAGAAACTGCCAGACGGCTTCGGCCCTCGTCTCTTCCTCCGACAAAGCCTTCCCCGGACTCCAGGACTGGCCCATCTTCCTCCCCAACCCTCCTCACTGTCTGACTCTGCTGCCACCTCCGCTGGCCACGCCCCCAAGAGGAATTTCTCCCTTAAATCCCGTTTCTTCTTCTCCTTTTCCTGCCCGGAAGAACCTGGAAATGCACGACCGCATGGAGCACTTGATTGAAAAGCAGGCCCACCCCGCGTCCTTCAACAACCGCAGCCGCTCGAAGTCGGAGACCGTCAGCAGGTGAGAGCCGCCATTGGGTGGGAGGGGGACGGTGGCTGGCCTGAAGGTTGCCATTGTGCGGGTACAGCCCCCTGCCCCTTGCGGGGGGGGGATTTCTGCCTGTTGGTAGGTGAGGGGGAGGGACCTCCTCTTCTAGCTCAGAGAGTTTTGGACTTTTTGGATTCGCCTGCCAGGCGTTTCGTGGCCCAGCTAGGCAACCTCATCAGGTGGAGGGAAGGTAGGGCTGGCTAGGCAAGCGACTCACAGCCTGCAAAGGTCCCTCTTCCTCGCACTGATGGGGCTGCCTAGCTGGGTCAGGAAACGTTTCAGGAAAATGAGTTCAGAAAGCACCAAGACCCCTTTCTACCACGGCTTATTTCTATCTTCTTCCACTCCTCCTTCCCCCTCTTCTCATCCTCCCTTCCCTTCCCTTCTCCAATTCTTCCTTCTTCCCTCCCCACCCCTCCTTTTCCTTCCTTCCTCCCCTTCTCCAATTCTTCCTTTCTCCCTCTTTCCTTTTCCTTCCTTTCTTCCTTCCCCTTCTCTCCTTTTCCTTCCCCCCTTTCTCCCCTTCTCCAATCCTTCCTTCCTTCCCTCCCACTTCTTTTTCCTTCCTCCCCTTTCCAATTCCTTCCTTCCTTCCTTCCTTCCTTCCTTCCTATGTCTCCTTTTCCTTCCCTCCTCCCTTTCTCCAATTCTTCCTTCCCTTTCCAATTCCTTCTTCCTTTCCCACCCTCCCTCCCCCTTTCCAATTCTCCTTCCTCCCTCTCTCCTTTTCCTTCCCCCCCTCCCCTTCTCCAATTCTTCCTTCCTTCCCTCCCCTCTTTTTCCTTCCTCCCCTTTCCAATTCCTTCCTTCCTATCTCTCCTTTTCCTTCCTTCCTCCCCTTCTCCAATTCTTCCTTCCCTTTCCAATTCCGTCCTTTCCCACCCTCCCTCCCTCTTTCCTTTTCCTTCCTTCCCTCCCCTTCTCTCCTTTTCCTCCCCCCCCCTCCCTCCATTTCTCTTTTCTTTCCCTCCAGCAAAAGGTTCACCAAGCCTGTGGGACCGAAACCTTTGCCCCTCATCCGAGTCTTGGAAACATGAACGGGATTTCGGCACTCTGCCTGGCAAGATCGCGCCACACCGCAAACCCGCTGGATGCCGGCCGCTGCCTCTTGTTTATCACTTCGTCCATCACCCCCCATGTTCCTCACTCTCCCCTCCTGTGCCAAGGGGAGGGTGTTGGCACGAGCAGGAAGGCCTCCCCAGGCCCTAAAAGCGGTGAATTTTATACCGGATCGAGGCGGAGGAAGAGGGAAACGCATGACTAGCAGAAGAAGAAAATTGGAGCGAGTGAATAAAACGGGTTCAGTTTAGGAAAAATAAAAAAGGACAGTGCCTTTTAAAACTTCCCGGCTGCCCCAATTTCATAGCTTTGGTTCCTGGGCAAACTTATTTTGGGGTAGAGAGAGAGAAGGGAAGGAGCGTTAGTGGCTTTTCCCTTGAATAAAGCGTCATTCAAATTTTTAAAAAACCCTTTTATTCTTCTTTGCCTTGTGAGCGAGGCGCTTCATCCCTCCCCGTTATTTTAAAAACCCATTTTAACCTCTCGCCTCCCCCAAAATAAAACCAACCAAGCTGAGATTCCTCTTTGCCCCCCACCCTGGTGGAGGGTGGTGGTGGTGGAGAGACTTGTAATAAATCCCTGTAATTTAATTTAGAGCCCGTTTTGTGTTTCTGTACATATTTATCTATGAAATAAACTCAAGGATGGTCTTTAAAGAAATGTGCCTGATTTGTTTCGCTTGTCGTGTCTTTTTTTAATTCGCTTGTTTTATATTTTAAATTCTTTTAAACTGTTTTTTTGTGTAAGCCGCCCGGAGTCCTTCGGGATTGGGGGGGCATACAAATCCATTAAAAATTGAAAATAATTGAAATTTCCCCCTGTATCTTAAAAACGTCTCTCGATCCTGGTTTGCGTCAAAAGTTTTTTTTTTTTTGAGGAACCTGTTTCCAAAAAAATTCTGCTCGGTTGGCATTTAGATAAGGAGTAAAAAAAAGCTTATTTATTAATCCCCTTTGAATGCAGTTTATGGCGTTTAAAGGTCAACAATCTTTTTAATGATCCAGGAAACGGGTTTTGCTCAGCACCCTAAGCTGGTTTAGCATTAACTTGGTTCGGTTTTTTTCCTTTTTTGCATGAATAGAATAGAATAGCAAAATTGGAAGGGACCTTGGAGGTCTTCCAGTCCAACCCCCTGCCTAGGCAGGAAACCCGATACCGTTTCAGACAAAATGGTTATCCAACCTCTTCTTCAAAACTTCAAGTGTTGGAGCATTCACATCAGGCCTCATGCAACTAATTTTGTTGTATTTATTTTGTACAAGGACAATTGAAACTCCCAAACTTGGCAACTTTTAAGACTTGTGGACTTCAACTCCCAGAGTTCTCTAGCCAGAAGATCTGGGTGTTTTTAAAACAGGGTTCAAAATTGTGTTGCGGGCCTCACCAAGAGCTCCGATGTGGGACGTAAAAATGGAAAACTTTTGATTTAGAAGCCCCTCAAACGTAACAGCCTCAATATGACAAAAAATTATATATATATATATTAGATTTTTTACAACCCCTGGTAAGCCCCAATTATGGGAGGAAGCTAAAGCTAGATCTATACTAGTCTCCCTTTATTTATTTATCAGCACAAATTAAAAAAAAAACACACACACACACACACACACATTATATATATATATATATATATATATATA